ATAAGAATTCATATGTAATCACATCTGCATATATAGATAATAGCTAAATGCAGTTCTGTTGCTATCTTCACACGTTTGTTGTACTTTCTGTTTATCCCCTAGCTAGGTGCTTCTCAGATGTTTGCATGTTCTATACAGAAAGGTAATTAAGGTGATAATAACAATACTCAGCCTTTACAAAATATGAGGACAACTGTTGAAAGCAGTATGTCAAATGCTTTGTAAACTACTCCATAAATAGTTGTGGCCTTTGAGTAATTCTTAGGAAGCATTTCAGCATTTCATTAATTTCATATTATGTTCTACAGAATCTACCGGTTACACGTATATTGGACAACCTCATGGAGATGAAGTCAAACCCGGTGAGTGTAACTGCCTTCACATGGAAAAAGGTGGAACAGCTGAAATCTTGAGGCTGGATATGGAATATGCCGTAGCTATTTTTTTCATGATAATTCAGTTAAATAGAATGGCGCTGTATCTCAAGAACAGAACCATTTTCGTAACTATTTAATTGACGTTGGTTTTGGTGGCAGTCAATCGTTGTCCCTGTTTGCAAGACTTGGAAAAGATGTACAGGGCTAATTTTTTTTGCCAACCAGTAGGGGTCACTCAGCACACTTAACAGAGAAAGCTGAATTTAAAAGTAGGTGAAAAATTAATCAGTAGTTTAAAAAATAAACACTAGCTTCCTCAGACTACAAGTTTAGGAATCCATTTGGAAAAGTTTACAGGTCATATGGGGCTTTTTTACTGACTCACATTGTCACATTTCACTGAGTAGAAAACAACCACTATTGCTTGGATTATTTGGAGAAAAATTTGGTCTTCTCGCTTGGAAAAGCAGAGATTGAGCCAGTCTGTCAGACAGTAGCCTCATGTTTCACTACCATGTCAAAGACTGGAATTCATGGCCCAAAACAGGGAGTCCTACTTTTCAAGTCAGCGGAGACCAGGCAAGCCCTAAAGAATGATTCTTCTAACCTGCAGGAAAATTGACAGCAACTTTTGGAGTAAGTTTCAGCTAACAGAAGCAAGCCAGAGGGTCATCTTGGAATACGTTTAGACTTATTGTACCATCAACAGACTGAAATTGTATCTGGAAAAGGTCAATGCATAGAAGTGCACCACTGTGGCCTCGGTCCATCTTCTGATGTTTGAGGTCCTTTTCTGTTCCTCAGAACAGAAAATTATTGTTCTGCAGGCAAAATACAAAGGGAGGGGAAAAACAGCTTAAGATTTTTTTTTTTTTTTTACAGCACAGAAGAAAATCTCCTTTATAGTTCATTGAATCTTGCTAACTGCAACGATCAGGATAAGAAATGTACATACAGATAAAAGTTGTAATGCACAATCAGAACTGATTATTAACAAGTCAAACAATTATAACAATTCATAGAAATAATTTAAATTATTGATGCATTTTATATTTAGAAAATAAAGCAAATACACAGCTTGTACCACCAACACTGACAAATATTGTCAGCTGAAAATTTAAACCTATGAGAGTTTTGCACAGTGTTGTCATTCTGTAGGGTTGTTTGTAACTCACTTTGTGTGTTACTTGTCCCTGCTGCTGCTTCTGTCTCACAAAGGTCAGTTACCAGGAAGGAAAAATGAGTCTATAGCTGTGCTTTACAAGTTTTTCAGAAGCAGGATCAGACAAAACAGTGCTTATGGGCAATAATACCATCCTGTAAATATTTTAATTCGTCTAGGTTGGTTAACTATAGTTATACTTTTTCCTGGAATACTTACACAGAAGTATTCATTTATGACCTTGAAGTGATCTGTCACTTGAGTGTTTTTTTCAATGGTAATGTTTATTGGTCAAAGCAGTTTTTAAGCAGTTGCTTTGGGGATTAGATTTGCATAAAGGAATGTTCTGTTCGTAAATCAAATAACATGGTTGTTGTGGTTTGGTATCACTAAACAGAGATTGATTAAAACCTTACATCTTCCTTAACAAAAAAATCTTATTAGGTATACACAAATCTTAACCCAGAGATAGAAGATTGACAACCACTGACTATAAAATTATTGAGATTCTTTTAAGCATCTTGGACAAAGTGGTTTGATTCTTGAGAATGACAACCTTTGATAAGTAAAACTAGTATTTGTAATGTAGTATTTTTATGGCAAAGTCCCAAAGAGGTTTAGATTCTGTTAATACGGTATATATGTTTGTATTGATTAAGAGGTAGATAAATCTTATTGGTGATATATATGAATGAAATTACTTTGGTTAATATCGTTTTGGACCGTATCCAAAGAAGGGCAACAAAGCTGGTGAAGGATCCAGAGCACAAGTCTTGAGGAGTGAGGAGGGGAACTGGGGTTGTTTAGCCTGGGGAAAAGGAGCCTGAGGGACCTTATCACTGTCTACAACTACCTGAAAGGAGGTTGTAGTGAGGTGGGGGGGTCAGTCTGTCCTCTTAAGCTGCAAGTGCTGGGATGAGACAAAATGGTTTCAGTTTGTGCCAGGCATGGTTTAGATTGGATATTGGGAAAATGTTCTTTGCAGAAAGGGTTTTCAAGCACTGGAGCGGGCTGCCCAGGGAAAGGGTTGAGTCACCATCCCTGGAGGGATTTAAAAGTCATGTAGATATGGTGCTTAGGGACATGGTTTGCTGGTGGACTTGATGGTGTTAGGTTAACAATTAGACTCAATGGCCTTAAAGGCCTTTTCCAATCTAAAGAATTTGATGATCCCTTTCAGTGAGTGCAGTATCTTTCAGGTTCAGGATACGCTGTATGATTACTTTCCCTGCATTAACAACAAAAAATATCTAAAAATGTAGGGTTTTCTTAATCCAAACCAGTCATGTTAGTTTCTGCAGAAAAACAAATACAAACTGAAAGTCAAAGATATCTCTGTAGCTCTTTTTCCATTTTAATTTGAAATCTTGAAAATTAAATTTACAATTTCAAAAGTATGAATTTTTCTTGAATTGCTTCAAGTAAGTCACAAATTCAGTTGTGTGTAACGAAACCACTATACAGTTGTTTTTATTGGCAGACTAGCTATTTCTTAAGGCAAATAAGATGTAGTAGGGTTTCTTTCACTGCCCTCTCACAATGTATTTCAGCATGAATGGTGTATTTAAGCAACACAAAAAAATAAACTAGCTTATCATGTTTCTATTACTTTAGCTCTTTTTTGTGTGTCTACTTACACAAGCCCACAGTGAAGAAACACAGCAGTAATACATTCAGGAGGAAATGTTCGTAATATTGGGGGGGGTTAACTCTGATTTTAGTTCTGGCATTAATCTGTAATTCATTCTAACAAGCAGGGAAGCTGCAACTCTTTAGGTGAATTAAAGGTTTCTCAAATACCTCTCAGTTTTACTCTAGCAATATCTATCCATTCCCGGCTCTCTCATTACTTCAAAGTTGCAATACCACTTTTATGTACAAGGCTGCCAAAATCAGGAATACTGGCAGACTTTACAAATGCAGTTGAAATTCCTGGTGGAGCATATAAAAGCATTTTACAGAAGTTGAGTGTGAAATTAGAGCTAAATTATTTTTTTTTATGAAGCCATACTTGACGATAGGAGACTTATGTCATTACCTAAAAGTCCATAATATCAAATAGATTTATTTTCTGTGTGTACAAACACCACATGCATGCTAAGTATTTTGTAGCATTAGAGATAATTATGCTTTGTGAGCTTTAAAAAAATTCCCCAGATAATCTGTGTACTGCTCAAGAAGAATTGTTTCTGCTCTGCAGAATCATGAAAACACAGATCTTGCATGTGAGCACCCAGATGAAAACAGCTGTAGTCTTGCATGCAGTTTAGCCACAAATTAAGCTCCACAGTACCTGGACGAAAATGCAGTATAGAAACCAGAAAGCCAAGTAGTTGTTGGAAGGAGTTACTAAGAAGTTTTATTTTTCATCTGTAGTAATTGGCAAAAATCTTTCTTGTTGCCAATGAAAATATTGGAAGCAACTCTGTATTTTGTGTGAAGGAAGGATTTTTTTGTATAGTTTAGACAGTTAGACTTTTCAGATTCTTGTGGACTCATTGCTTCTTCAAGAGCTTAATTTTGGTTTAATAGTAGTCATAAATCATGAAATGAAAGGGGTAAGTTACATAGCAGTAGCAGATTTTGATCTGTCTTGTGCTTAGCATTCATTACCCTAGAAGTGTTTTGTTTTACAATATTGAATCAACAGCAGATCTCTGTAACCTGGAAAATGTTAGCACTTATAACTAACCATGTGATGTTCCTCTAAAGCTGGTAACACCTTAATTTTTCTTTCTACAAATTGTCTTTCTGTTGGGATTTATTATGCAACTGGCATGTTTTTTTGGAAAGTGGGGTTAATAGTTAATTTTGGATGAACAAGATACAAAGAAGTTCAATAGTGTCCTTCATAGCTCTCTCACTGTTGTTTATTCCGTACCAGTTCAGTCAGGTACATAATATAAATGTTAGTGGACACCACAATTACTTTTCAGTGATGTGTCTGCTAAATGGGAAATGATGTTGGTCTGAACGATGTTTAATGCAGTAGGTACAAGCAGAAGTTCATAAGGCCATATTCTGATCTTTTGAGATAAACCCATGCTTTTTAACAGGAGACAGATGATTACCGGTATTTCGACCCCAAGATGCTACGAGGCAGTGACAGGTGAGGTTACTGTGAGTTTTCCTTCTCTCCTTGTATCCTGTGAAAAGGCTAACTTAAGAAAGCCGGTTTTATTTTACTTGCTGGCTACAAGTAATTCATTTTAGTCATTAGTTCTAAGTAAAAACAGTTGATGTTGAAGAAATTCACAACAGGAACTTGGATCAGCCAGATACATTTTCATAACACTGAAAAAAGAAAAAATGCTTTTTTCCAGTGACTGCATACGCTGCTAACACGTACATCGGTTCACTCACAGGAATGGACATTAATATTTAGCAATAATAAATGTTAGAATTCTTTATAGTGGTGCTGCTTGATTTCTTTGAAACTTTGTGGGTTTCACTGTTAAGCTATAAAGTCATTGGAGAGTGCTTCAAAATTACTTTATCTCCTTTTAAACAGTTAAAAGTTTTATTTTTATTACAACCCTTATTTAGCAATTTGTAAATAACTTCAAAAAAGTATCATTACAAATTGACTGCATTTGCTCTTGTATAGGCAGATGTACATTTTGTATTCATGTGCATATGAAAGGAGAGTTGAATATAGTTTGTTTTGCTAATAAAAGAGGGGAAGAGGAATAACACTAAAAGTTTTTATTTATCTTTTGCTTTATATCTTTGATCAATAACCGTGACTGGTAATCTCAACTCTAATATGCTAGAAACAGAGAAGATAGTTTTAATATAAGTTCTTAAAATAATTTTCATCAAATCTGCAAGAAAATAATAGCTCATTTAATTGCAGGGGTTTATTACAGGCTGAATATGGATAAAGTAGGTCCAGACTTGCTTTTAGTGTTTTGCATTAGAATCTGTCCCTCTGTTCTTGAAATATGGAAAGTATAGTTCTGACAGTTTAAGTAGTAATAGCCAAATTTCAAATAATAATACTTTTCAATAAAGTAAGTATTACAGACTATATCATTTCAAAGGTAAGCAGATTTTGAAAGCAAGTAGCAGTAAAATTGCCACTATGTTATGTTCTGTTTTAATTGCAGCTTACATTGTTTTGTTATGCTTTTATAGCATATTTGGAGGATTTTGTGCAAAAGTGCAAAGATTTGTTTTATTAAAGCCAAAGGATTTTTCTCATGTAAATGTATCTTTTTAGCCATTCCATGTTGCTTTAAAAAATGTAAAGATAAGCATTTACAGCAGCTGCTAAACGAGCCATTCTGTGTAAATATAATAATCAGCAAAAAACTTCTGATTTCTGGTTTGGGTTTTGTGCATTAACTCAAGTTATATTAAGTTATATTTGAGCATTACAACAAAACTCTAGTATAGCCATGTTTGTCTAATTCTCCCTCCAAATACTTGTGCAGAATAACAAAACATAGGTTAGCTGGCTTGACAAAATACTGCTAATTTAAAATAACGGTATCAAATAGTGTAACAGATGGAATGACATTAAAAAGTGAGTAATTTTTTTTTTTATAATCTACTCCTGGCATTTCTACATACTATTTTTAAAAAAAGAGTAGGTACTGCATTACTATAATTCAGTTTTAGCAAAATACTCTGTTCTGTGTAAAGCCTTCATCAAGTCTAAGCAAGTCCCCCCTCTGAAAGGATGACACAAAATGTACATGCATTTGTCATAACATATGCAAAGCACAAGAGAATTGGGCTAACAGTTCTACTTATGGAAAGTCCGTAGTATTCATGACAGATCAAAACAACATATTAGAGATATTAGTGACAGACATTCCTTCTTAAAAACCTGTTTTCCTGATAATATTGTACTCATCATATTTTCTCCTAGCTAGCAGTGCTATACTTAGAGCTTTTAAGCTTTAAAAGAAGTGCTCTCATAAAGCCAATGGGTCACACAGCAACCTTTAAAACTGATGAAGTAGAACTGCTGTTTACTCGTGTATTCAGTCCTGTAGATTGAAGGATTTTCCATAACAAATAATTTAAACAAAATATTTGGAGAATGAATGCAGAGAGGCAATAATTGTTCTATTTTAGATCTTCGTCTAATATTGTATAGTATTCCATAAATGTTATGTGTACACGATACTCATTTTTCATATTTATATTAATGGCTAATAAAATTTAAGTTGTAGTCTCTGTTTCTTTGTATAGCTCAGTTCCAAGAAACAAAAATCCATTCCAGGAGGTAAGTCATGTAGAAATTATTTTTCAGTGTTCATGTGTTAAAAAAAATCTTGAAGTAACGGCCATTTTTTATGATCATGATTAAGAAAATTAGTGGTCTTGTTTGCAAAAACCACTTAGACTAATTATATCCAGTATTAATTATAATTAGCTGTTATTCTGAAGGATTCTTTTAATCTTCAAAAGACTATGTAAGTTTTAAGTAATACTGGAGAAGGAAAAAATTATAAAATTCTTCTAAAGGTAATTAGAGAGATTTATTAATATCATAATTGGGTATTCAGCAATTCAAACCCCCCATTTTTATGCCAGCTTTTTTAGAATGCTCTCTAGATTTAATCCTTTGACCAGCTATAAACAGCAGTGTTGTACTCTGATTTAAGTGGCAATATTTTAAAAAGTCTCATCAATTAAAGGAAAAAAGCAGAAGAATAAATGTTGCCATGTTATACAGATGTCAGTAGCTTTCAGTATTTTTAAACATAAATATTTGCAAATAGTAAATGTCTTACTTATCTTACTACCAAGTTTCATAAGCAAAATCTTTGCCTTGGCAATATAGAAATGTCTCAGATTGCTCTTGCAATGTCCTAATTATCCTCCTGAACAAAAGAAATATCATGCGGTGCCTTATATATGGCTAGCAGATGGTCATAGCAACCATGTCATTAGTCACATGAAGTCTATATAAAATTCATATAATGTAGTCAAACAGTTTTGGATAGTGAATGTTACCAAAACCAATGAAACTATTAAATCTCCTTTTTCTATTTATTAATTGTTCTCTTTTAAACATAGCCTAGAAAATACCGATGGGCTTTAGCTGTAATATTACAGAATCTTAGCAGTACTAAGTGGGAGGGAGAAAAAGAATGAAAAAGTGTATTCCTTTATAACACAAGTCCCAAATTTAGTGTCCCAAATTAATTCTTACACATCCATGGAAATACTTGAGCCATTCCTATGGACACTGGAGACATCTCCACACAAAATTAACATGTTGAAACTGCATGTTTCAAGTATTTTGTAGAATATAGGGACATGTTAAAAGCTCTCAGACTGCGCTTCTGCATCCTTCTAAAAACTCTCCTATTATCTCCTTTCAGGTAGGAAGCTACTGGTTCTGTATCCAGTTTTACTAGAGTGTAGTGTGATTAGGTTGAATTTTGCTGTAGGCTTAATAACTTAGTCTCTATTTTACTACTGAAATGTGAAGAATTTGAATGCATACTCTGATTATGTGTGTGTTGCCTTTTAGGCGATAGTGTTTGTAGTTGGAGGAGGCAACTATATTGAATATCAAAATCTTATTGACTACATAAAGGTATGTGCAGTTCTGTCACTTGTCTATAACTTGCTGAGAGAAACCAATTTTAGTAGCTTTGCTGTAACACCTGGTATTTAAATGATTGAGTTTTTGAGATTAGCCTTAACATCCTTTTTTATATACAGAATCTGAAAAGAAGGATGGACGAGATCAGGAGAAAATGTGAATTATTAATTCACACCAACAAAGAGTTACTGCTTTGGAGATTTCTGCTCATGTTGCACTTTTAAATTAAGTAAATAAATTGCATTCTGCTTTGTTTTGTCTTCATTCACACTAATGTGGGCAAAAACTGTCAGCAGATGTAGCTAACTGAATTAACCTCTCTTCTGTAGAGATATATCAAATGTTGTCAGTTTGGTTGTCTGTATTGTTTTGGAGTCCTGTTGCTAGTTTTCATTTGCTGCTGTTAAATAAAGAAGCTGTAATGTGGCGTAGCCTTGACAGTAAGGAACTGCTCAGAATTCTCCAGTGTTCATAAATCTCACAATAGAGATACTACAGTGCTTTTTTTGCATGCAGCTTAGGAATGTGAGGTCAGTTCAAAAACAAGGCCTACAGGTAGCCATCTTATTTTACAACAGCCTTTAGCTTAATGTTTGTTGTTTCAGAAGCCAACAGAATGCAAATACTATGCTAGCAGTCAAAGCAAAGACCAAATTAGCACCAGTATCTAGGCATTTGTTATTTACCCACATTTAGAATTTCTTGCTAATGAGTTAATGGAAGCTCATTCTTGATATGCTGCATCATTTGATTATGTGTAGAAGAGTAAGAGGTTTCACATGCACAAAGAAGCAAAATACATAACCAACTATGTAACAGATTTAGTTTCTCAGATTCCAGCTGGCCAGAATAGGACAGTGGATAGAGAAAAGTAAATACATCATTGCAGTTCCTGGGGGAGCAAGGGTGGTATTCAAGCATTTTCTAGGAATAACAAAGGAACCATGATAAAATTTTGAAATAGGTAATAAATTATTTAAGAGCAGCAACATGGCATTCTTCCTTCCTGATCTTAACCTTATTCGTGGTATGATCATCCTGTCCTGTGATGGACTGGGCTGAAGCTTTTCACACAGAAGAGTAAACATGGAGCCTTAGGCACTGAAGAGCACTTCGTCCACAAAACAAGCACATGAGAGTTTTCTGTCCAGGTAAATCTTGAAAAATATGAAGTCAGACAGGTGGCCATCTTGGAACAGAGCTGGTCTGGATAGGTAAAGGAGAGAAAGAAGAACGCAAGTTAAAGAAATCATTTAGGCTCAGTTTAGAACTCATCACTACTGATAACTCATTCTGGCATTCATTGTGGCATCTGCCTGTAGCAGAGTGCTTTGTCAAACTTACAGCTTGCTTCTTAGTTCACCCAAAGCCACTTCAGGAGCCATATCGATTCAAAGGATGCCCAGCAGCATGTGTGTTTGTGATGTCTATTTGTTAGTTCCTAATGAAATAAAACTCTGAATCCTCTAGAGGCTAATAGGCTTCTCTGCTACATAGCTGCAGACTGACAGAGCTGAGGTTTGCTGCATATGCATATATGTATGTCTGTGTATATAAGAAGTGTTTATGTGATTCATACAGAGTGGCAGGAAGCTGAAAGTTTTGAGGAATAAGGCAGCAAACAGGAGGTCATTTAGTAAACAGGTGGAGAGGACAGTCAAGAAACTGACAACTACAGGAATGGATAGATCCTATGGATCTATCCATGGTTAGATCCTATGGAGAGTCAGAAGTTGGATGCAGTTTTTCTTCTGAAACCTGCAGACAGAGGTTTCTTCATCATTGGTTGTCAGAGCTGAAGGGTCTTGTTTGTTTCTCCAGTCAGACTGTGTACTTGGTCAGTGGGAGATGACCTCCTAAGGGGGAAGATTCCCTCACCTTTATTCCACACAGCTATTTGCTCTCAAAAAAAGCAAGAAATGTTAATGAAAGCCTTAATTCCACCTCCCACCCCCTTGTCTGCCTCTCCCAGGTGACTTTTACAGGCTTATCCAATAAAATTTGCTTTTCTATGTGGTACACGTCCAGCATCTGTTGTTTCAACAGATGTAGCCTATTAATTATTCTAATATTCAGTCTTCCTCCAGAATAAAAAAGAAAAATCAACAGCTCTGTTCTTCCAAGCAGATACCACAAAGATTTTATTCACTGCTTTATTTTTCCAAGCACTATCTGTTTTGCCAGTTTGCTTCTGAAAGCACAGAGAGTATTTTAAAACTTTATAAAACAGGAAGCAGTGTTCATTCAGCTTTCACATACTGGGGTTTTTTTTGGTTTTTTTTTGTAGAATTAAGAGGAACCCTCAAATCCAATTATTTTCAGTTCTGTGCTAGAGTGAACTATCTCACATCATCAAAAAGCAAATATTTATCATGTCAGTAAGGCAGATTGTGCCTTAAAATAAATATATTGCCCAAGTTCAGTTCAACGTGCTGACAAAGTGTAATCAAAAATTGCAAGCCAAAGGAAACCTCCAAGAGGAGACTATGATACTGTTTTGTACAAAAAAAATTTAGCATGTCCTTTAATTTCCTTTTGTAGATGGTTAAAAAGGTACTGCTTGATAATCTGTTCCAACCTATCTGTGATAGAGCTTATAATTTATCACAAGAAATTTAAAGCTAGTGTAGTTTTTCAATCATTACAAAATACTGGCTTTTGAAAAGTACTGAGATTATTTTTTTAGATGTTAACCAGTTTCAGCTCAGCTCCAATAATCATCTGGAGGTACAGCTCTTAAAAGGGACTAAGTCATTAACTTTAAATGAAAGCATACACATGACAGTTGTAGAAGAATATATATGACAGGTTGGAAGTGTACATTAGTGTGTTTTAGAGCTGCCTGAAAGGTAACGGTCCCATTTCACAATTATCTGTATAGTTTTACATTTCTTTCTGGTACTAGGCAGAAAGAAATGCTATTCAGTTGTACTACTGAAAGTGGAATCTGTCAACATACCAGTTTAGATCAAAACCAGACCTATTCAGATATCAAGATTTTTTAAAAGTGGCCTGAAATGTAGGAAGCTGCAAAGTCAAGATCCTGCTCAGTGATGAGAATAGCTTCATGACAAACTACTCAAAATTAGTACAGATGAGGACTTGAACCAGGATTATCATCTTCCCAGTTAGCCTGTGACTGTCAGCTAAGGACTGTTTGAATCCGCTTCTGTTACTTTATGCTTAAATGGCACAATTGGTAATACGTAAGAAACAAAATCATTTTGTCAAGGCTTATTCATACTGTGCTCTTTAGTAAGTTAAATTTTACCTGACTAAAATGGGAAAATGCAAAATAATTTAACAGTGAAACATCTCAAGCCTGTGCTTAAACTTTGAGGAACCATCAGCCTCCTAAACCAACAGTGAAAGTAAAGTCAGTTTGAAACTATGTACTACTGAAATCCTGGGGCTTGAACACTGAGCCCCGAATTAAGGCTGACATATGGGTGATTCCCACAGCCCTTCATACAGAGGTGGTGAGTTTGCCTTATAGCTTCCCCCCAGGGTGCGGCCGGCCCTGCAGGGAGAGCCAGAAGGGAAATGAGCCCCAGGGGTCCCGCACTGAGTTGACAAAGGTCAGGTGTCTGCTTGGGGATAAAAGCTGGGACCACTGGCAGGGAGTCAGGAGTGTCTGTCTGTGGAGTGGATGGACTCCACAGAGCTTCCTGGTTGGGGAAGGACCTCCTGACTCTCCCTGGAGCTGGGCCCCGGTCAGCTTGGACCTTTGTAAACGTGAGCTAGGAGGGTGAGAGCTGGCCATGTGGCTACCCTTATCTTATGTGTTTAACCTGTTGACCTGGCTGTTTCCCATTCCATCTATGGGAAACTTTGGCTCTTTGTTTGTTCCACCTATTGTCAGTTGGGAGATGTCATTGTTGGGGGTGATGTCAATTGCATGTGAACTAATTGACTTGTTTGCACCCCCAGCGATCGTTCACGGAATGACTTTTCTATATTCAATACAGTCCACTTAGTGGTTTGTCTTTCCACTGTCTGTGTCATTTGTGTTAGGCCTAGTTATCGCCAGAACAACTACTTACTAATTTTCACTTTCAAAATGTTAACATTACACTTTGGTAGCCTTAATATCAAGTGAGTACAGTTAAACTGCCAACTAGGTTTATTATGCATCCAGTTGAAATCAACATAACATTGTGCTTCAAAATCCCTTTACACAAAAGTTCCGGTTTTAACATCATCTTCATATGGAAATGAAGATTGGAAGTTTTCAGGCTCTGACACAACAGAAACAGTAAGTATGTTGTTACTATTCCTAGCACAGTGCCCTGTTATTTTAAGGGGTAGGGTTTGCTCGAGTGAGGTTGTTGGCTTCACTAAGCCAGTCTTAGAGATCTCAGAGAACTTAGCATTCTAGTGAGTTTTAATGTATAAAATGCCCCATTTTTTCCTGCTTTCTTTCTGCCTCTGGTCTTGTTTCCCACTTCAATTTAATTACAGGTTTGGTTTTGTTTCTCTGGTGTAATTTTCTTTTTCAGCCAAAAGTGAAAGACTTCAATGTCATCGAGATTTTTTATTTTTGGTATGCAATTAGTTTAAACCACTTCAACTACTGTTAAACACTTGATTTCTTCCTGTCTTATCTTTCTGTAGGGTAAACAAGGCAAACACATCCTATATGGCTGCAGTGAACTTTTTAATGCTACACAGTTTATAAAACAGGTAGGTACCCTTGATAACCCCTAACATTTATTACTTCTCTAGTTGTGTGTTGACTTATATACCATCACATCTGTCCATGGATTTAAAATTTTAAAAAAAGGCAAACTTATTTGTGAAAGAGCAATACATTTTTGTTATCTATTTTCACTTGATTGAAATGGGGGTTTGGAGTCACTATATTTAACTAACTTTTGAGGGTATTGTCTGTGTGAATTCACAGGTAATACAAGTGAACAAGGTCACAGAATCATCTTAACATAAATCCTAGCAGAAAAAGTGCCTGTTCTTGGTACTCCTCCAAATGGCATGTCTTTCCAGGCTATTCTAGTGACTTTTACAAGTTAAAAGCTGCTATTCAACTGTGATCTTTAAAACTTTGTCCTAAATGTTGCTATTTATAAATACTGGCCTAATGGGAGCATGATGTTGTCCATACCTGTACGAAAGTCAATCTTCTAAGTGCTATTAAGAAGATCATCACTATTACTTCTTTATGCCTCATTGCAGGACAAATAAAAATTTTCCAGGGAGGTCAGCAAATAGCCCTTCAGTAGTTGTCACCACCTATGGTTTTACTTCCTAAGATAAGAATAAATTGTTATTCAAAATTACATTTTAAAGAACTAACTTAATTCTTCCTGTACTTGGAGACAAACGGTACTTGTCAGCTTATAAAACTTCACTTGGATTAACTTTTTTGTTGACTGTGTACACTGCACCGTTACCTCTGAGATTTATTCACATCTTAAGATTTGAAGCTCAGATCCCCTGGTGAGGGTATGCATTAAATATTCTGTTAGCAGCACTCTTCTGGTTCTAAGACACAAACAAAGCTTACAGGACAGAAGTATTTACTGTATGAATGGCCAGTTAGTTTAACTGAAAGTGTAAGAATAGCAACCTAATGGTTTTCTGTCTCTTCATGTTTAGTTGTCCCAACTTGGCCAGAAATAAGATTGAAACACCATTTCCTGGATGGCAACTTGGCAACAGAGAATTGTTACAACATTTAGATATCTTCATATCTATAATTTTGTCATTTTGTTAAAACTTTAACCCATCTCATTAATATGATAACCTTTAAGAAAAGATCTGTAATTAATACCATGTATATGAACGTTTCAGAAATAAACCTTAAGACCTGCTGTATTGTCGGTGGGGGTCAGTTTCACGTTATTACATTCTAAATGCAGAATTAGCTGTGAGATATGACAGAGCTGGCTGGAAAGCAAAGCATTCGAGTTCTTTACATATAGTTTCTCAAGAGAAGGTCAACACTGTCTTTAGGAGGCGTGTTCTTCTTGAAAGGCAGACTTATTTAACAAAATTGAACAGGACAAAACTGCCTTTTAGGACCACAGACAAACAGCCTGAGTCCAAGAGAACTATTTCTTACCCTTCTATTTTACCAAAATCAGTATACTTGTACTTAGACTTGTGCAGTCTTTGCTTGACAGTCCAAAAATGTACCTGAAGATATCTTCAGTACAATTTTCTGATACAGCAATTTAGTTTTTCTCTTAAGAGAAGATTGCTTGCCTACACAGTCAGTTTCAAACTGAAATCTCTAATAATTTTCTTACACAGTTTTTGTTGTAACTGCTTTGACTGTTATGGTTGGGAAGAAGCCAAGTCATATTCAAAGAACAGGTGTTAACTGTTTTGCAAGCAGAAACTTAAAATTCATGTTTTAACAATTGCATTTGGTAGGGTCAGGTTACTAGTTTGAAAGGTCGCGTGATATAATTTAAGTTTTGCTCGTAATGACGGCTCTGGAGAGTGCATACAGGAACCGAGAGAAGGTGACAGCATTTCTGTAGAGATACAGGTCTCTGCCTCCAGAAATGTCCTTGCTGGAAACAGCAATGCTACTACTGCAATAATGTGTCTTCAAAATGAGGCCTAACATACTCAAAACGTGGAAAGAGAGCACTCGTTTTGGGTTTATTAACAAACAGTGAGATTGTAAGACTTACTGGCTTACTGTAAAGTTTTCAGCATTTTTGCATTGTTCTTCAGTGTTGAATGTTGATTTTACTCTAAAGGCAATACTTCTTCTCCAGATGGATTTTTTTTTTCAGAACACCTATACAAGGAATGCAGTTTATGTACTCCTTAAAAGTATCACAATAAAAATATGCCTAATCCAGACCATGTTATCAAAAACTAATAATGTGGTTTCATTATCTCAGCTGAGTATTGTAAGTTACTCCACACTACTACTATAACCTTCTAACTTTGCCAAGTCAATAAATATATTTATTGTGGTGTTAATTATAGTTGTTTTATGTGAGCACTCTCCTATACTTCGATCAGCAGGGACTGACTGTCAAATGCAACTTGTTATTCCCTTTCCCTATATATACACTGTATTTGTTAGTAAAAAGAAAGACAAAATGTGTTTGGAAAAAAAAAATTACATTTAAGGTGTTTATTGCTTCCTGTGGGAGTTTGTTCCAGAAGCTTGGAAATAGTCCATCCCCAAGAAAGCTGTGCTTCCTATACAAGGAGTTTTAACCTTGCAGCTGAGAACCAGCTTCTGAAAAATATGCTGACTGCTTTTTGTCCAGATCTTGTGGCAGCCTGTAATACAATGGGCCACTCCTCACTCTATAGCAGGAGCACTCCTAAATCACAGCTTACAGAATTTTCTCTTTAAGTAAACTATGTAACAGTATCAAAAAATACTTTGGTGGCTGTGTTCAAAACCTTAATTTGTGGGCTTTATACTTAGAGACCTCTGGAGACAGGGTTCATTTGTGCCCAGCTTTATAGCTGGATCTTCAGGTCTGTTGTGCAAGCATGCACTGGTCAAATCATGTTTTGTTTTTTAAAAAATGAATAAATACAATTTTTGTACATAAACCATTCTTCTCTTTCCTCTCCAAATTGGTTTTCTGGTTTTGTTGTATTAATAGTCCTAAAACTCCCTGTTACCATTAAAATCTCAGATTTACCATGCAATATCTGTAGTAGCGTACTCATCTTACTCTTCCCTTCTGACACAACCTGAATTACGGCGTGCTGGGTTTTGTTGCTTGTCCTTTTTCCCCAGATACCTCTTGTGAAATTAGGAATGTGGACAAGTTGTATAAGAAGTCTCCATGGTTAGTCTAGAGTCTCAAACAACGTTGAAAGCAAGCTGCCTCTTTGGCAAGTTTATTGAAGTTATAGGCAATCACTATGCCCTTCACTCCCTCAAAGGTCTCTCATAGGCCTGAGTTTAAAGGAGAGGTTATGTCTGGCTCAGGAAGGCTTTTAAGTAAAATAGTACCAGCAGCATTCATGGTGCTAATAAATATTTTAGGTGGCTACATGGAGAGCCAGGGAGTTGTAGAACTTTTTTAGCCTCTTTGTTAATAAACCTCAGACAGCACCAGCCCCTGGCATGACAGGTCCAGGTTCTCCGTCTCAGAACCGGCAGTTCTTCATTGGGATCTACCTTCCCATTTAGGTACCTAAAAGCAGCACAAGGCTGAGTTTCATGTGCTGTGCTTGTTTTCAGGAAGAAAATCATCAGTCTGGTCTTCAGCTGTGGAAAGTTGGCACGGCTGTGTTTCTGGAAGTATACACAAATCCTACAAATGGTTGCATATACTTGTCCCTTAAGAATTAATTCACAGCTTGAAATTATAACCCCTCACTTGCTTTCTTGTTTTAATTGGGAGGTTTTAGTATACTTGGATATTTTGTGAATTACTGCCTTTGTTTTCCAAAATTAGACACTTTAAAAGAGAAAATAACAATAAAGAAATGAAACAATCAGAATGAGGAAAATAAAGCTCTGCAGACCATTTGATTTTAAGTATGCTTACTAGTATAATGCTATCTGATACACATCAGTATTTCTTTCCTGCGTTAGAAGAAAATTTTGCTAAGATGATTGATGGTGTTTACATCAATCCAAATGCCATGTAAAATAGCAGCTTTTTCCCCAAAACACATCAGTACTTAAGGTAAGAGGAATGCCTCTGTCATTCACAGTTACAGAGCCCACGCTGCTATGCATACAAAGCTCCACAGATAGAGATGAAAAAAGTGCAGCACTTATTTTTTCACTTAAATTATACAGTCTAAAATGGAATTGCCTAACGGTTAGCCCAGTGGGTTGACTGGAGCGATCCTGAGTAAAAGGTTTGTAAGTAGGTACATAGAGACAAACTTGAAAACTACCACAACTAAGCTCTTCAGATCTGGAATAAAAGGTCTTGAGCCAAAACAACCTCCTGTCCCTTGTTTACTAACAGTCAGTGGAGAAACCTGCTCATTCTTGGTGGTTGGATGATTCATTACTTGTTGCTGACAGAGGGCTCTGGCTCAAAGAAAGTCAAGCTTGGTCAGCATTCTAATGTTACAGAAGAATTAGCCAGAGTGACAATGATTTCCCTTTAACTTTGGAGGTCAGGAAAAAAGTTAATTATTTTCTTGCACTGAACCAGAAGATGATTTGGCCCAGTTCTATTTTGTTTGGAAATGGTTTAGTGACTTGACTCTATGTAGAAATCTCAGTTATTTTCAGTATAACATTCAAATCTGTTTATATTCTTACTTATATTTATGTGATTTATGGGTTTTTTTATATTTAATTTTATATATATTTAAAGCATAGCATTCAATTTTTTTAAAAACAAAATCCAAACTTTTAATCTGATATATGCCTCTCAAACAACTTTTTAAACTGTAGATCAATACATAAGCTTTTGTCTGTCTCAAGTGCAAATAACGGTATATACACTTTCTGCTCCATAGGAAATAGATAAGAGCAACATTTTCTTTCATCTATAAATGTCACCTGATGGACGTCTTCCGACTTGGTACATTTGTTCTTTTACTCATTGCTGTTTTCTGTTACGTGTCCATGACAAACACTATCAGATCAGGTCACAAAACCGTACAAGGGAGAGATACCAGCCAAAGAAACACAAAATGTTTCACAGGCAAGCACACATTTTTTGTGTGTAGAGCTTGAGTTTTATCAAAGCTAATTGTATTGCCAGTTTTGCTAGCACTGAAATAAGCCCTCCCTTTTCATAGGTGAATGAAGTGAAACACTGCTGGTGCTATGTTTTCTTCATCTTCCCTTACCAGTATGTTCCAGTCCTCTAGGCGAATCTCTTTTGATGCCTTTTTCTGTGATTGCTGACAGCTAAACTTCCGAGCTCCAGCTGGGATGCGAATTCAGCCTGGAACAAGAACATCAATCCCTGTCCTGTAGATTGCTCATCAGCAATGGGCCCTGTTCATTCAGATACAGTTTGAGTTGGTAACTCACAGGGGAAGTTACCTACACCAAACATCGTCATCTGTCCAGATGCAGTACTGAGGATATTTTTCTTCTTCCCAGTGAGAAGGGTGGTTTGGCTAGCCACCCTTCCCTCACTGTAACCGCCTTCTGATGACTTCTTTGAAAGCAAACAACATGAAGATAAGCACTACTACACAGGCAAGGTAATCACAAAACCCACAGAAGGCAGTTTTATCTCTCCCATCAGTCTGGAAGTCACCTTAATGACATGAGGACTATGGGATAGTTTGAAGGAGAAGATGGAGGAAAAATAACGGAAATCTTCCAGGAGTAAATGTGAAAGACAAACACACCTGCTTTGTAGACCCTCACTTGTGCTGCAGGACGGCAACCCTGGCTGGGAAATTGTACAAGTCTTTGCTCTCCACATCACCAGCTTTCTGACAATTCTTCAGACCATGCTTCTGCCCAGGAGAAGAATCTGGTCTGTTACTCTTGCCTCACGTTGCACAAGAGAAAGTAGTGTTATTCTCAGCCCAGGGCCCCGGGGAGAAGAGCGAGTGCTCACATCTCTAGCTTTTTCACTGCTCTCTGGAAAAGTTGAATTTGTGCAAGCTCAGGGCCCAGCATGAAAACAGGTGAACCAAAAAGAGGTCTCCCTTCCTCAGGCCAAGTTCTCTTTGTTTGTTTGTTTAATTATAAAAACCTCCCACTTATTAGTTAGAATTAAGCTTCTGTCTTTCTCTCCTTACCTCTCAATTCACTGCAATACCAATGATCAAAAGCAGTCCTTATACTTCAGGATAGGATCCAGCTTAGCCAAACAGTCAGTGAAAACCTGATGAAAACTGTTGTAGTTTTACAATTGTGACAGACAAACCATGAACACCAAATCTGC